TTCTTCTTGTCTGGTTTCGGAGCCGGGCTTAATCTCGTCGACGAAATCGCTTCCAATTTTCGTGGATAAAAATGAAACGATGTCGGAGGTCGGTTTACGAAAGAGGCAAGGGTGACACGCACACGAGCATACGGCCCTGTCATCGCATCCAAGGGAACGGATTTTAATCAGTCGATGGCTCATGCGAATTAGAATGGGCTAAGGGTGGATCGATTTTTAATCTCTGTAAAAGACTCACGGGAGCGCGTAGCATTCCAGTCGAGGAACTAACTAACCGGAATTTAACTGACAACGAACGATCACGCGTTTCTATAACAACGCGTCGATTTATAATAAATTTACTAACAATACATTGACTTATGACATATGAACGTAGTACGCGTTTAATAATAATATGTCGATTTGTAACGTGTTAATTTACAACGCATCGATGTACAACGCTTAAATTTACAGCGTATCAGCTCGCAACATATTGATTTACAACGCATCAATGCACTGCGCATTAATTTACAGCGCGTCGATTCACAACGCTTCACCTTATAAGGGATACGACTTGCAACGCACCGAATTGCAACGCGTTAGTTTACAACACGTAGATTTACAGTGCGTCGATTTACAGCGCATCAATTTGCAATGCGTAGTTTTACAGCGCGTCGACCTATAGCGTGATAGATTCACAACGCGCCAATTGGCAGCGCATTCAGCCCACCGCGCTCCAATTTACAACGCATGGATTTACAACGCGTTAATCCTTAACGCTCCAATTTGCAGCGTATTCGGCTCACAGCGCTCCGATATACAACACGTTAATCCTCAACACACCAATTTGCAGCGCATTCGGTTCACAGCGCTCCAATGTACAACGCGCCAATTCTCAACGCCCCAATTTACAGCGCATCCAGTCCATAGCGTCCCAATTTACAGCGCGTTCAATCCATAGCGCTCCAATTTACAACGCGCGAATCCGCAACGCCCCAATTTACAGCGCATTCGGCTCACAGCGCACCGATGTACAACGCGTTAATCCTCAACGCTTTACAGCGCGTCGACCTATAGCGTGATAGATTCACAACGCGCCAATTGGCAGCGCATTCAGCCCACCGCGCTCCAATTTACAACGCATGGATTTACAACGCGTTAATCCTTAACGCTCCAATTTGCAGCGTATTCGGCTCACAGCGCTCCGATATACAACACGTTAATCCTCAACACACCAATTTGCAGCGCATTCGGTTCACAGCGCTCCAATGTACAACGCGCCAATTCTCAACGCTCTAATTTGCAGCGCATTCAGTCCACAGCACTCCAAGGTATAACGCGCCAATCCTCAACGCCCCAATTTACAGCGCATCCAGTCCATAGTGCTCCAATTTACAGCGCGTTCAATCCATAGCGCTCCAATTTACAACGCGTCAACCAATAACTCTACAATTCACAGCACATTCCGATTGCAGCGCTATAATTTACAACACGTCAACCAACAACGCCCAAATTTACAGCGCATTGAGCCCACAGCGCTCCAATTTACAACACTTTGACTTATAACGCGAATTTTACGTGTCTGAAAATGGAACCACTTTGTGTGACGTTAGATCTTGAAAACAGAATACATCTAACAGAACATACGACCCTAATAGTTGACCGTAAAAAGTATAAGTGATTGTTGCTCTTACCATACAGCCGTAATCGTCCTACATACATTAGTCCCGCGATATTTTAACGGGTGTTAAGTGATATCCGGATACACGCAGTAAGTAAGCAGTGTAAAACAGAAGAAGTAGCAGTAATACGAGTTAGAGGAGAAAGGAAGAGAGCAGGAACGCGTTTGACGAGGAAAACTGGCCACTGGAAGTAAGACGAGCTCTCGAGGCGAGGAAAGAAGGAACGACGAGAGAAAAGATGGAAGGGAGAGAAGGAGAGAGTTTATTACGCTTTCGCGAAGTTTTACGCCCTTTAATCTACGCGACAGTCCCCGGAGAATTGTTTTACGCCGATGTCGCACCCGCAGGATTTTACGGGTCACTTTGGATAATACAGAACGAACCCTTGCTGAAAGTTCGAACGAGCGAAAGCGAACGCATGGATTAATGCGTCGCTGAAATTGAGCTGGAAGTTCGCGCACTATAGAAGCGTAGTATAGCTTGCCGAAAAAAAAGAGAGAAGTAATTTTCTGTCTGAGAATTTTATGAGAAATTTGACGAGGGTCACCGCCACCTCGCACTTTCGTTCGTATCTCTATCGTGAACTCTTCGATCTCGGGATACTCCTTGCCGAACAAAGTTGTAATTAAATACGGGAACGTCTTCGTCGGCGAAACATAACTTCTTTGAAATTGGGACAGATATTGGGAATATTTGGATTAAAAGTTTCGATGGAAGTTTTAAAGATATTTCAACCGATTCGGGCTACTGGGCTGAGGATCGAGCAAATCTAATATATCTTGTATGATAGTTTGTGACATTTAAGTACTTAAAAGTTCAAGTTACGTATATATGAGGTTTCTTCGACTTTCATCTGATTTATACTTATGACATTTACAAATTTTCAAATATATTGCATTCTTTGGTTTGTAAATTGATGTATTATTAGTTGCGCTGTAAATTTATGAGCTGTGAATGATTGCGCTGTGAATTTATAAGTTTTGAGCAATTGCGCTGTGAATTAATGAGTTGTAAATTGTTGTGTTGTTAATCGATGGGCTGAAGAAGGTTGCGCTGTAAATTGATGAGCGGTAAGTGTTTGCGCTGTGAATTTGTAAGCTTTGAGCAATTGCGCTGTGAATTGATAAGTTGTAAATTGTTGTGTTGTTAATCGATGGGCTAAAGACGGTTGCGCTGTAAATTGATGAGCGGTAAGTGGTTGCGCTGTGAATTTGTAAGTTTTGAGCAATTGCGCTGTGAATTGATGAGTTGTAAATTGTTGCGTTGTTAATCGATGAGTCAAAGACGGTTGCGCTGTAAATTGGTGAAGTTTGAACGATTGCGCTGTGAATTGATGAGCTATAAGTGGTTGCGCTGTCAATCGATGAGTTGTGAACTATTGCGCTGTCAATTAACGCGTCATAAGTTACAGCGTTATAACCCCATGTATACTTTGCTTAAGATTTGAATTTAGCAGTCAAGCGTTGTAGACAATACATTGCCTTTCACTATATCACCAATTTCGACATTTATCAATTTCCACAGCGTCTATTTAACATACCTAATCAAAGTCTACTATAGTAGCAAATTAGAATCCATCTCGATTCTAAGACAAGAATTAAAAATTTTATCCTCCAGAAGCAACTATTTTCAAATCCCCTGCTTGCAAGTACAGCGTCGTGAAACTATTACGCATAAACGAAGAATGCTAAGTGTCACATTTTCTGTTATTACACAGCGAAATTTTCTCATTAAACCTCCGCAAAATTTGTTCGAATATTAATTGTTATTTTACCTCAACATCTCCTTGGCCGTCTTTTGTCATGCTTAGCAGGATTTAGTGGTCCATTGTGTCAGGTAACATTAATGTAACCGGACTAAACGCGGAGTTACAATGTAACAAGCTGAGACCGAGGGCAACGAACGTGAATTGCGAAAAATGATACGTCTTCTTGCGTATACTCCAGTTAACGTGGCCCTCGTTAAAAGTAACAACAAACTGGCTCGTTAATTGTGTTATACTATGCTATAGAACGCGTAAGAAACAACGTTCTTTTTCTCTCTAACCGGTTCATTTATTCATCTACTATTTCTTCGTTGTTATCAATTATTGAGAGTATAAAGCTTCTTGTTTTATGTGTTTTTGCGTGGAAGATTTCTTTTATTGTTTTCGTTCATTGCTTTTTAATCGATGTGAAATCGATGGATTTCAGAACTCGTTTCAGTCATTAGGATTAAAGGTAATTTTCTCGCGGGATAACAGGATCGTAAACTAATCCTTCCTGATCTAATTAAACCTTCGTATAAATCTGACTTATCAAACTATCTACCATTGTATCTTCTCCAAGTTCCTTCTGGATAATCTTTTTCTGGTCAACCTAGAAAAATTAGCAGAGGAACTATCTTTTACTCGAAAATTTCATATTATCAAATTTTTATAATACTTTCAAAATTGTCCAATTGAATTATTTAGAAACTTGAAATTTTTTACTGAAATTTTCAAATAATCAAATTTCTACATTTGTATTTTACTGACTTACCAAAATTAAAAATGGAGGTAGGTCCTTGAAATGGAGGGTAGGTGATGTGATTCTGAATAAGTTTTCCCTTTGCAAAAATTGGGTTTGATGTTTCGTTTTTGAATTATTAAGGAAAAACACGGACCAATCACAGCGCTCTGATTACGCCCACTCCGCCATTACGCTCGAAGGCGTCGCTCTCGCGTCTGCGCACGCGTTCTCGCGCTCTGATTGGTCCGTGTTTTTCCTTAATAATTAAAAAACGGTGCTTCAAACCCCATTTTTGCAAAGGGAAATTTTATTCAAAATCACGTCAGCTACCTCCCATTTCAGGGACCTAGACTAATTATGAAACACCCTGTATATTTGCTATATTAAAATTATAAGGTCTATAAACTCACCACTTTTCATATACAATAAAATAAAATTAAATCGTGTTTCTCAGAATCGTTCATTGAATAAATCTAATACTACATCCAAGGAGGGTCAAATAAAAAATATCGGACATCATACATTCTTAACAATAATTAAAAATTGTCATAAAAAATTTGAAAGATTTGAAAAATTTGAATAATTTGAAAAATTTGAAAAAATTTTACTGAGTGTTTCTCGATACGACACATTCTCTAAAGTATCAGTCTCGAATAAATCGGCAGCGCAAATAAATTGCGAATGGCAGTAATAAAATCGCCTTTAAGCAACCGTCTCGAAAGGATAATAGGGATTCAATCGGCTTTCCCGTTGGCGATCGTTCGGAGTCGTGTTTCTCCGCAATTTCCTCGGGAAGGCGAACCTGCATTCGCCAACCCTCGTAAAACACGTAGATTTTTTCTTGTTTCAGCTCGATGCTATGACGGATTTAGTGACCATGGTTTCAGCCAAGTATCCTCTACTCTACTTGGATCAAGTCATTAAACTCTGCAACCTTTCAACTCCTTTTTCCAGCTGATATAAACCGCGGTGAGTACAACGTGGCTTACCGTTATGTTTTTCATCCTCCTGAAAACAATTCTGGGAAAATTTGCCGATGTTGCTGCCAGAACTTCAAAACTGTGAGTGGAAATTATTTTTACTAATTAGTTTTCTTTCTTACTGTTTTTATTGCTTGCTTTTGTTATTATTCATTGTTGTTCACTTTTTTACTTAATAATAACCTTGCATTTTTATTACTATTTATTGTCGTTCACTTCTTGTTAGTAAATAACCATGCATTTTTATTACTGTTCATTATCCTTCATTTCTATTATTAGTAATTATCATTTAATTTTGTTATGGTTAATCATGGTTCATTTTTATTATCATTAATTATCACTCAATTTTATTACCAATAATTATTGTTCAATTTCATTATCATTTATTATTATTAAATTTTATCACTGCTAATCATGGTTCATTTTTATCAGCATTAGTTATCACTCAATTTTATTACCAATAATTATTGTTCCATTTTATCATCAATTATTATTATTAAATTTTATTACTGCTAATCATGGTTCATTTTTATCAGCATTAGTTATCACTTAATTTTATTACCAATAATTATTGCTCAATTTCATTATCATTTATTATTATTAAATTTTATTACTGTTAATCATGGTTCATTTTTATCATCATTAATTATCATTCAAATTTAATACTATTACATATTGTACATTTTTATCATTGCTAATTACCATTCATTTTTACAACCATTAGTTATCATTCATTACCAGTTAGGAAAGTTTTGAATTTTTTAAGATACATTACAGATATCACAGAAAAGTAGATGAACTGTAAAAGATCAGAAAGGCAATATCAATCCTTTAAACTCTGAAGTTTAGAGAAACAGTGTCTGTTTATCACCCAAGTCTACAAAGTTCCGTAAGATGACATATGTTATAAATACTTGCAAATAAAGCTACATGCCCCGTTATTTGTGTTTTGTGTTGAACTAAGCGAACAAATCATGGCGACGTTCAGCAACCGTCTCATTCCCAGTTCCAAACTAGATACGTGTATGATTTAAACTAGTTGTTAGGGACAATACATCTTCAAAATACGCTATAGTTATATAATAGTATACTAACTTCTAATCTTCAGAAACTAGATACAGATGTCAACCCACGAGATAAGTTAGGTTTCGAGTTATCGTGTGATCCAAAGTAAAAGAAGCTCCACGTGAACACTTCCAGTTATACTTTGGCAAATAAGAATATTAATTGTTGAATTCACACTGTGCACTTGAGAGACGTTTGTGGACTCTCATTAATACGTGTGAGGCGTCCATTTTTCTATTCTGACCAATTGGAGCCGTAGTTACTTGGGGACGTAGCGATTTGGGGATGTACCGAGTTGGAGATGTAGCGATTTAGGTATGTGAGAATTTTTGGGCAGAAGAATTTGGGAGTGGAGAGTTTGGGGAATGTAGGGATTCGGAGGTGTAGGGATTCGGGGGTGTAGGGATTCGGAGGTGTAGGAATTCGGGGGTGTAGAGATTCGGAGGTGTAGGAATTCGGGGGTGCAGGGTTTTGGAAATGTAGGGATTCGGGGCTGTAGGGATTCGGGAATGTAGAGATTTGGAAATGTAGCGATTCGGGGATCTAGAGATTCGGGGGCGTAGGAATTCGGGGGTGCAAGGTTTTGGGGGTGTAGGGATTCGGGGGTGTAGGAATTCGGGAGTGTAGGAATTTGGGGGTGTAGGGATTCGGAGGTGTAGGAATTCGGGAGTGTAGGGATTCGGAGGTGTAGGAATTCGGGGGTGCAGAGTTTTGGAAATGTAGGGATTTGGGGATCTAGGGATTCGGGAGTGTAGGAATTCGGGAGTGTAGGGATTCGGGAATATAGGGATTCCACACTGCAGTGATTCGGAAGTGTAGAAATTTAGGAATGTGGAGATTCGGCAGTGTAGAGACTCGGTACCATAGATATCCTCAAATACAGAAATTTGAAGATATGATACCTCAAAAATATAAAAACTCCGCTATACAGAAATTCGCAACTAAAATAATTTACTACAGCACAGTACAATGATTCCTACATATACATGTCCTCTTCTAAAAACCCGGTCCAACCTCACGCGCCACCTTCTCGACACCTACACTATGCAGTACCTACAATAAATTAAACGAAATTAATAACCTCACCGATAAGTTATTTAATTTGCAGTTCAGCGTAAAACAGCTTTTAAATTTTCGATTACCGTTGAAATTTTAATATGCAAGCATTCTCGAACTAAATAGGTTCCGTCGGACAAGAGAGTTATTAATTTACGGAAACGGAGTTTATTAATTTATTCTGGGTCATGCATCGGTTCCGAGCGCAACCGATATTCCGATACAACGGCTTGGCTTAGTTTCCATATGGTTTAGGCACAGATCCGAAATTCAGCTGTATCAAGTTGGCTCCCGTGCTTAACGAGGCTATCGAGCTCGTTACCGAACCGATAATTAGATACGAACTGATCTCCGATTCCACTCGTCATCTTGTTTCAAATCTGTCACCTTTACAGACGTGTTGCGTAAACCGCATTCTCGTAATCAATATTTTTGTCACGGTGTTAAGTGGGGAAAATTTATACACTAAAATGTAGAACTATTCTAGAAATAGAAATAGAAAGGTCTAAAAACAAAAAGGTCTTTTAAAAATGTACAACAGAGATGTTAACAAATTATTTATTATAGTTTGAAGGAATATGTATAATCTGTTCTGGTCAAAGGAAAAACATTAAACTGACTGAAAATCAAATCATACAGATGTGTTTTTTCTATTGAAATAGTTGCTTGAGTCACTGATTACTTTCTTCATTTTAAAGTAATCTGACTAACAAATGCCTACAAAAATTAGTTTTGTATGTTTAAAGAAATGATTCAAAGAATGATTCAACTGATTGTTCAGATTCACTTGATGTTCAAAGACTGACTTAATATTTACATTATACACAATTCAACTGACTTCACATTTTAGTTATATGTATTTGATAAAATTATGTAAGAAGAACATTTGAAGAATGCATTACTTACAAATGTATATAATACTTATAAATTTTTAAAGTTTGTGAAAAAGTCAAGTTTAACCCTCTGACTTATAATAACATCTTACACATTCATATCAAAATTCGCAGTACGATTGAATTTGGAATTTAATATCAATTACAATATGCATACTCAAGGATCCTTAAATTTAAAATATACCTAACAGTTCAAGTTTCTATATTTGTCTTAATATTGCAATAATAGTTAGTTCTGACTGACTCAACTGTTAAAGAAAACATAGGTTAAGACGTTAACATATGATCAACAAGTCAGAGACCCAAAATGGCGGCGCATCTCCTCTTTCGAGGCACAAACGTAGATCGTTCTAAGAGTTTCTCCACGTCCAGCAAAAACAGGGACCCATGTATCTAGTGGTGCAAAAATACCAGGACATTAGAATATAAAAATACGAAGATCCAACAAAGTCCAGATCGCTCACCCGAAGACGTCCGACTAAAACACAAAATGGCGGAAAAGCCCGTAGGTCCAAGAATCAAATCCTGCAGGAAGTAAACGAATGGAAAGCGTAAGCTCAGCGATTCAACGATGTGCATACAGAACGTAAGGTTTTCACGAGATCCGTCGAAGCGACGGGACCCGACGGGACGCAATTCGTGAGCCGACGTCTAGCGACATTTAAAAATAGGAAGAATGAGCTAAGCTGCTTGGGGCAGCTTACGCGTGCAGACGGTGTGTACGGTCATCTATGGATGTGGTGGAAAGGAAGTTGGACCCACACGCGTCCCTGGATACCCTGGCTATGTACACATAGGAGACACCCTCCTGGCTCCCTGAGGACATGTTAGTTTCGCACGTGATATTCCCAGCCTACCGTCTTTACGACGAGAGCTCTCGGGCCGCCTTCGGTTCCATGGACCCGCGCGAGCATCCTCTTGAAACGCGCGCGGGCGAGCGCGTACAGTCATGGGCAAATATGCCTTCCCGGAGAAAATTACTGTGATGTACTCCTAGTGGTGATTTTAAAGGATTATGGGAGATTTATGATTTTGAGAGTTTTATGATTTTCTTGGGGGTTTTGTGAGTTTGAGGATGAGGTGATTTGGACATGAGGGATGTAGGAACTTTGGGATTTGGGAGTTTAAGAGGTTTGGGATCTAGGAACTAGGGACGAGATTTGGGGATATAGGAATTGGGTGACATGGAAATTTAGGAATGTAGGAATTTGGGGACCTAGCAATTTTGAGATATAGAAATTTGGGGATGTAGTAGTTTGAGGATCTAGCAATTTGGAGAGCTAGCAATTTGGAGATAGAGATGGAACTTAGGGATCTAGAAATTTTTTGATATAGGGACTAGCACATATAGCAATTTGGAGTTTTACAAATTTAGATATATAGGATTTGGGGATTTAGTTTGCAAATATAGGAATTTGGATTCATAGGAATTTGGATACATATGAACTTGAGGATATAATTTGAGGTTCTACGGATTTTGAGGTTTAGTAACTTGAGAACCTAGGAACTTGAGAAACATGGAATTTTTTTAATTGAAAAATTTGAAAATCAAACAATAAAAAAATTTGAAAGTCTGTTAATTTGAAAATCAAAAAATACAAAAATTTGAAAGTCTGTTAATTTGAAAATCAGAAAATGCAAAAAGTTGAAAGCCTAAAAATTTGAAAACCTGAAACGTGGAATAAAAATTTGAGTACTTAAAAGTCCTGAAGCATACGCGTTCTAATCCAATGGAGGCCATTGCACCAGAGTGTACGTATTTCTGCTCTCTTTCCCTCTATGTATGTGCCCCAACTAATATACGTGTACATGCGTGCACGAGTGTTTGCGTACGCGATCCCTTGCTCCTCTTCTCCATCCTTTCCTTTTGTGCTTCCGCTGCTGGAATCACGAAATCTCCGTCTACGCTGCGAATTTTGCATTCGCGAGATTACCGCGTGAAATATTGAACGATTGTCGGATGTCGAAGGAGAAGTAATTACATGCAAAGCCGATTGCACGTAATGCGGTGTTTTGGATGAATTACATAGTAGTAAAAGAAGGGATTCGAATTTAAATTAACATCGA